TTTGCAATGAGAGGCACGAGGCCCGAGAAAGGGAGACGCACGAAGTCCAAATATGGGCATAGATAGTCGAGCGTCATTATGCGCAGGCGCGTCTACTAAGCGAGTGCGAGCGAGACAAAGCATTGGAAAGAACGCGAGAAAGAGAAATGCCCAAACGTGCTTAAATGTTCACCGCATGCGCACAAAGCAGCTAGAGAGAGAGGCTACTATATTGTCTGCACTGTAACATTTGGACTTCAGGTCGGCACCGTACTAGCAATATAGAAGTATTATATATATGTTTCTGCTAGATGCAGTCATTCTTTACTTTTCGTTGTTCCTTTGTCTTGGACTGTACTCTTAGAAATTTCAACCAATCAGCAACGAGAAGACAAAGACAGAGATCCTAGTTGTGATGCTCTCTATTGCGGACAGCTCGCACAATGGCAAGGCGCGTTCTATATTGGCTGCTTTTCTTTTAAGAGACACAGTCGACACGAGTCGACACAAAAGTCATTCTGTCTTCGTTCAGTATTCAGTGAGAAACAAAGACAGAATTACTCTTGTGTCGACTGTGTCTCCTAAAAGAAAAGCAGCCATTATAGTTCAGTGGTAGAAAACGAACCTCATTTTAGACTATAGTTAACATTTGAAATGTCAGAGGGCGCATGCGACATCTTCTTCTTCTTTACATATATGGCTCACGCTCCTGCGAGAGTGGAGCAAACGCCAGTCTATAGATATACATTCTCAGAACGAATGTGGAGGGGAAGGATGTGCAGTTTTTACCTACTAACACGCGATACACGGCCGTCTTTTCCATAGTATAATATATAGACTGCGCGTTTGGCTGAAAAGATGTCTTCAACGTTGAGAGAGACAACATACTTTGAATAGTAACTCTTTCTCTGTCTATCAATGTCCGTGGTGGGATCAAGGTCTACTGTTTTATACCACCTAACCTACCTACCATCACCCTTTAATCTCTTTCACTCTTCTTCACCCCCACTATTATTCTATCCCCACTTTTTCACTACTATTCTATCAATCAGCGAAGACTTCTTTTTCCCCCACTACTTCGCTAGACAAAGATGAGGCTACTGTTCAACACCAGCTATCTCTCTCAACGTTGAAGACATTTTCTTAACATGGCAAAGGTACACTGAACTCTATATACACTGGAATGCGCATCTTCGCCTAACAAGCATAGCAAGACGTGGCCATATATGTAATACTCCTATATTGCTAGTACGGTGCCGACCTGAAGCTCACCGTTACGATGCAGACAATATAGTAGCCTCTCTCTCCAGCTGCTTTGTGCGCATGCGGTGAACATTCAAGCACGCTTGCGCATTTTTCTTTCTCGCGTTCTTTCTCTCACTTTCCAATGTTTTGTCTCGCTCGCACTCACTTGGTAGATGC